AAATTAATCATCAGGATAATTTCTGAATGTCAAAGTAATTTTTTTCATTGCCTGATGAATGTAAGAATAAGAACTAATGGAGGTTCCTAATGACGTGATAAATTTTTGCGATATGTTATCGTAGCATTAAGTGTAATAAATAATACAGCAATAACGAGCATTCTGAATGAGGCTAAACAGTAAAGAGATATCGTACTCATAATAGTAGACGATATATTTTCAGAAAAGCTCATTAGAGTGAGCCAAAAGCTATTCAACGAAGATCATTGGTGCTAGGCGACAAGTGGCGGTAAATGGTTGCGAGGAAAGCAGAGTAGTAGGCTAAGTAGGAGATTGAACATGGATGTGTTGACGTCAAAACACCACTCAACTGGCAGTATCTCTACGCGAAAGCTAAGCTTCCTACTAATCGCTACTCGTAGCAACGCCGCGAGCTAGAATCCCCCGATTATGCTGGTCCAGGCGCTTGGCATGAGAATTGAGAGAAAGGTGGACGTAGGAGGATTTGTACTTGAAATGCGATGGTTGATATCACTACTTTTGGTATAACAAAAAACTCTTTGTGAGATAACAGTACCACTGAACACTCGCTTAGTTGGGAAATAGAAGGGCAAGAGGAACGAGAGATTAACAACAGGCAAAGCGTCGGACACACGATAGTCGAAGCAGCGGTCTGCATAAATTACATGAGGGCTATGAAACGCGTCGCGTAACGAGACAATTAATACACGGACGGTCGCGTCGAGAGTCGAACCCAGTGCGAAGAGTATGGACCAACGAAAAGCGACAACTCCTACCCACGTCCTATACCATCCTATGTACTATCGTACGGTGAATAGTACACAACTACGTGGTTGAACGCGAATTAGAGAGACTCTAGTTGTGCAGTACTCACATAATAGCTTCACTGTTTCCAACGTTCTCCACCCTCGGACCTATGTGGTATTGTTACCGATGCCTAGTTCCTTTGTTTTAATTTGTTACCTACCGGTATGTGCACACATCACACGTGTAATTCTGTTTAAACTTGCACTCAAGAGTAACACTTTTCGAATGATTTATTAATTTAGTATTAAGCTACTTTCTACACGCTGATGTGTATTGTTTTTATTGATTTGCTTTTTTTTTTTATTTCAACATTTTTAACGATTGTGCAAAAAAAATTCAAACAAACGTCAAATCCTTGTGTATAAAAGGAAAAAAAGAAAAATATGATTAAGTAAAATGACCAAAGTCAAAATATGAACGTGACGGTACTCGGTTAGCAAACGAATCTACATATAATTGAGCCATTGCCTCACCTTTCCCCGTAATACCACGTACGCTATTTTTTGGTACAATTTGCAAGAGCGGCGCGAGAATTCGTGCACCCGTAAAATTTCCTAGAAACGAGCGTGTCACGAAGCGAATTGGAGTCGAACGTGCAAGCTATTGTTCGCTGGTCGAGCCGAGTGATTTTCATCACCGACAATTGTTCCTTTCTTAAGCCAGCCTTCATCACTACTCGGCCCATTAGCACATATTTCCGCCGGGTTTGGTCTGCAAACTATCTCTGAGGTACTGCAGTGTTTTCTCTCGTTCAATCCGTCCATTTGTGCACTACATACCTCACACTTTTGTGAACTTTCGCTACTTTTGAGAACCAACGACTTGATTCAACTTTGCCAAGTAATTCGCGGGACAGAAGGGCGCCAGCAGCGAGTTTGTTTTCACACCATTATATCTATCTTCAGCTAGCAGCTATTTCCTTTTTGCTTTTTCTCTTCTACCGTATTTGGACGCGTGATCTTAGAACCCATCTCGAACTTGATTAAAGTCACTCGGTGATAGCAACTTCTTTCGAACATTGTTCAACTTTGAAATGTAATAAATTCATTTTACCATTGTCTGACATATATTAACAAATCTTGACTTGCAGTCATCTACGCTTATTCATACTTCCATTCAATCATTTGAAGGAATTTTTTCTTTTCATTTGCTAGAAAAAAAGTCACTTTATCAAATAACGTTCAGTGAGTGGAAAATAAACTCTAAAAAGGAGAAACATTTTTTTATCTGTAGTACAACTATAAAGCAAGCAAAAGATCTAAGAAGACTAATATTTATTTGAGAGAAAGCAACAAATTGAAAAAAAGTCTTATGCATAGCACTATTGCTAGAAGTCGTTGTCTTTTAGCAAAGAAATTGATTTGAAAATATTTATGGGTGCATAAAATGTAAGGACAATATTATTTACAATGAGTGGAAAATAAAAATAATTACATTATATTGTATTGAAAATGATAATAACTTTGACAATGCTATGCAATGAAAAATGAAATCTAAAAAATTATGCTTCACTTTGTTTTTATTCCAAACAGAGAGAAAAGGACTGCTGGACATTATTTTATCATAATTGTTAAAAAAAGTAGATTAATTTGTATCAAGATTTCCCTTTTATTCTCATAAATAATTTTTGCTAATTCCAAGCTTAAATTTGATTAAAAAGGACCTTTTTTTTTATTTTTCCTGACTTAATAATCTCACCAATTTCATGGTACATTTATTCCCATTTATGTTATAAATACATTATAACAGGGTATTAAATTACATGTTAGGAATAGATTAAGGGATAAATAACGTTACGAATATGGACAGTGAGCTGTTAGAGCATGTAATCAAAGAACATGTAACATAATTTATGAACATATCCTAAAGAAAAAAAAATGTAATAAATAAATAAAAGCGGATGATGTATCTAAATATATCTTTTTTTACAGGATAATTAATTTAAAAAAAAATTTATCATCATGTAAAGTTGCAGATAAAGCATTTATTTTTGTATTTCCAACATTATTCCAACTAAATAATTTTGAATGATATTTACCAATATTCTGAAAATTCAATGGGCTCAAACTGTATTTAATTTCCATATTTATTTATTTTGACAAATAAAATTTATCTGCTTTTAAAATTTGAAGTGTATCAATTAAAAATCATTTTTCATGTTAAATGTCACATCTCATGTTCTGGAAATCATTTCTAACTGACCAAAATTTAACCACCAGCTAAAATTATTGAATAATCAATACCTATTTTTAAAACATTAACAACAATCATCACAGCTTAATCACAAAATAAAACAAGCTGTAATATACATGTGACCTCGAATGTCCATACAATCAAATACTCGGTAATATTGAGTTCTAACAAACATGATCAATAAAAGAGTACAACGAAATACGATCATTAGAACTATGAGATTTTGATTGAAGTAATTAGAGACCATGCAATTCCTAAATATCATATTGACAGTTTTATCTCATTTACTATCAGTAATATAGTCTGATTCTTTTTAATTAATTATGAAACAGGTCAATAGATTACCATACAATTTCAATCAATACTTTCTTGCAATGAAACAAATCATTTTTTATTAATAAAGAAAAAAGTTACATTACGAATTTCAAAATAAAATCATTTTTTTTTCTCTTTTATTTTTTAAACAAAAAAATGTCAGTACCTAATCACACAAAAATGACATGGTACCATGTCATTGTCAATATATATTGATTGACAGCCTAATATATTCGATATCTACTTTTCAAAACGTGTTCATCTAGAAACATTTACATGGACAACTACTTGAAAAGTTACTGCCACCAATTTTTTTTGAATTTTATTTTTAAAATAATGTCTTTATTCTAAGAGAGAAAATTGAAGAGAAATCGAGAAAAGATTTATTATTTCCATCATTCATAAACTGACAATAAGTTTATCAGGACACATAAGAAGTGACTAAAAGCTTCACTCAAAGTCGACAGCTTATCCTACTTCATCATTTATATTTCCTTTATACATAAAATTGCGACCAAAACTTCTTTTAAATGACCAGAAATTATAATCACCTTGGATTTCTACAGAAATTTTCTACCATTAGTAAAAGCTCACTCATACTAATTATTCTGAAGTAAAAGCTTCTTAAAAATGTGCACGAGTATTCATGAATTTTAGTTTTTAATGATAAAGGCTGATATTGTTATGGTTATTATAGTAATACAAACAGAAGAAGTAGACCATGAAAAATTAAAAAAAATTAAAACTCAAGCACCACTTGCACGCAATTCTGAGCACGCGTTACGTTTTTTACCACACAAACACGACCTGAAATGCGGTATTCTTCAAACTTTATTCTCAGAACATGCCGCAACAGCTATAGCGTCTTTTTTATCCAAGTTTTTTCTACACCACGACCTTCCTCTCCGGCAGTTTTTCTTCGCTCGCGGGTGCGTTTCTATGACCCTTTTCTGTGGGTTTGTTTTTAAGTCACGTGGGATGATTGGACTGAGGTCTTAAGCAGAATCTATTATGAAATTAATAATGTAAATCTTCATCTACGTCAAATTTTCATTAACCAAGTATAATAAGTACAATGAAAGTAAAACATTCATTAAATACATCAAAACTTTTCATAGTGTCAGTCATTTTTAATCTACCTACTGACTGATGGTATATACATTTTAATTTCATTGAATTATAAAAATGATACACTAAATAAGTAATCAATCAAACTTTTTGCGTATTAATTTCATTCATCAATCAATTTGAAAAAATAACATCCATTTAGTTTAAATAGATGATCCCTTTTCCATAGCCATCATGATAACTCTCTACATGTCTCTGATCTACTGAATTTATTAAACGTATTGTCAGCACATTAGACTACATGATTCTCTTGACTTCTATATCAGAATAGGTACATGCTGTGCAGAATGAGAGAAAAAAAGTCAAAATACGTCCCGACTGCACGATAAAAGATAATGAAATTGACGCCGTCTTTCTGTAGACTCATAAAAGAGTGTCTTTTTTCGCCATTTGCCAAGAAAATGAGATGCCCTGTATGTTTCGCAAACGATATTATATTCATTCCTATTCTTGCGAAAAAAACCCCGACGAGCGGAAAAAACTGTTAACATTTAACATTAAAGAGCATTAAAAACTTTGTGATTTTTTTATTACAGAACCACGTGCCCTTATAAAAGGTCCATCAGACATTTACGTGAAAACTGGCAGTCTACTGACGCTAACTTGTCTCATGTCTCAAGGACCACATGACTTGGGAACAGTAGCCTGGTACCGTGATAATCAGCCAGTCGTAACATCTTCGAGAAGTGAAAATGACGTGAATGTAGAGCCACGGATCACAGTGGAGACTGAGTGGAGCGATGCTCTTGAATCGAGGTGAGTCTGAACGACTGTTAAAAATGTACAGAGGAAAGAGATAAAAGAAATGGATTACAGAGTCTGTATGTATGTAATCCCCCTATTATTAATTCTGTCTAGTCCTTCTCCTTTGTGAAACTTTAGATTTTTTATGTCTCTTATATACATTCATCCTCCTTTCTGTACTTACAGATTAACGATTACCTCTGCAAAACTGACTGACTCCGGAAATTATAGCTGTGTGCCAACTATTGCAAAGAGGGCCAGTGTCAATGTTCATGTTATTAATGGTAAACAGATTTTTCTTTCAAGTTCACTCTGGTTATTTTATTTATGCAACTGTCAATGGAATATATTTATCTTAAGTTTGCTAAAAAAAATGTAGACTGAGGTAAAACAAATTCTGTAGAATTGAATAGTTCGTTCATGAAATAAAGTATGCCTTGACAAAATAGAGCTTTTCTCTGTAGAGAGTGAAAAAAAAAAATAATTGTCAAGTTTTTTAACTTTTAATGATATTCGAGTGATTACTTTACATAAAATATAGACTCTAGAGTTAGAAATGAGCTTTTTTGACAGTTTTGAACTACGTAGAAAAAAAGTAAAATGAATGAAAAATAAATTCACCGTTGGATCTAATTACTTGGATATAAGTAGGAATTAGCTTTTTTAGAAGATTATTACGGGTAAAAAAAATTTTTGCTTCTCTAAAAGCTTTTTGATGAGTCACATAAAAGTAACAATTCTACAATTTATTATATTAGATAAATGATAAAATAATTATATCATTTTCATAGATATTATGTATTTTATTACACTCAGTTTTATTTTAAAAAATAATCTGAAAGTTATTCGAGACTAGTTTATCTGGTGCTTCTCGAGTCAAGAAAACTATTAAATCACCTGTCGTGTCTGGATTAATAAAATTCGAAATTTATCCTAATACGAATTTTATTTTTCTTACCATTTTTTTTCTCTTGAATAAAATACGAACTCCCTACTGAAATATTCTAAAAAAAATGATAGATCTTTTTTTTTTCAATTTTTAATGATGCATTTTTTACTATTTTTTTTTTCTTCACGAAACAATTAAAAATGGTATAGGATGTCTTTTACTCATCACTTTATAACAACTGGGAATAAAGAGAATGAAAACCAATTTTACAGTTGAAAAAAATTATATAATCGTTTGTCAAAAAGCATTCCATTTTGAAAGCTAATGATCAAGCTCAAAGATGTTTCGCATGAATTATTTTTTGAACTTCATCTTTGAACTTTAGGGAAGCTTTTAAATTTGACAAAAAATGAGGGAATAATTTTTTTCTTTTTCTTAAAATTCTTATGAAAGAAGTACGGAAGGAAAAATTCCCAGTAGTTTTACGACTTCTTTTGTTGAAAACAGAAGTTTTTTGAAACTATTTATTATTGAAATAATTTTTTTAGCCATTCAAATTTTTTAAATAACTTATTTCTTATGTCACATATAATTCTCACAAATTTACATGATTTTATTTATTGAATGTAATAAAATTCTTGTTATCAGTCAATTCTCCAAGGTAATTCTTAGAATGACACATGTAGAAAGCTGGAGTTGACTTGCGTATAAATTTATCATATTATCTGTCAATTTGTCACTTCAACTGAATATCGTCAACTTTTTTTATACAGTTGTTAAAAAAAAATACTTCACGACCGAAAAAAATTGTAAAAATTAAAAAAATGTTTTATCAATCATTCATTTCAATGTAATCAAGAGTCTGTAAAAAATGAATAATTATTCAAAATAGTCAAATTGCGATGAATGAGAAACCTTGATGACATAATATGAATAAAATATTTTCCAAAAATAAATATTATAATTTTTATAATTATATTATATGCGATTGAATTTCATGAATTACCTGAAAAATCAGTTTTTTTGTAAAAAATACCTTCAATATTTATCTTGCGTGACATGTATTTTTAATTTATAAAAAAATCAAATGAATCAACTATTAATTAAAGAGATTTTAAATCTAAAAAATGATATTCTTCAACACAGCACTTGGAAAGAGATTACCATTTTAATTGTATAAAATTCATTGAAAATTAATAAAAAATAATTTCATGACAATAATGACTGGCTTCTCGTGAAAAGTGTGTTCTACCTTGATCTCCCTTATCTACGCAGAGCAGATAATAATAATAGCAGTTAGATACACTAGTCAACTTCGATTGAAGAGGTAGAAAAAAAGTATGAAAAAAGGCACACTTGAAATCTCATTGTATAATCATTGTTACTTGCTATACCCGCATTATAAAAGAAGAGTGAGACTTCTATTTTTCATGATCCAGCAAGTATTCTATATTTTATCTGTTATGTTTCACCTGGGTGACGATAAAAGAGTACTTTTACTCTTCACTTTTCCCTCTTTCTCGGTGCACAAATTTGTATTACCAAGGAAAAGCTTCATCAAAACTAGTTTACGCTTGATAGAAACTTGTGAATAGGTAGAATTAGACCAGTATCACAAACATACCTGAAAGCTCAAATTCCCAGGTATTTATATATTGCAACGTATTTGCTATTTTTTTTTTCACTCTCTGAGTTCACTTACTAAAGTTAAATTAAATAATTACATTTCATTGACGATATTTTTTTATTTGCACGAAGAATAAACTCGAAATTTGTTTTATACGTACATGTCTATGTTTATTTATGTTTATAAGTCTAGAATAACTGTAATTAAATACTCGGGAGGATGATATGTAGAATTTACACACTGTTAATACACACCTGCGATTGTGTATATACTGGATGCACAATTTTCCAATTCCAAGTTTACTTCGTTGGCGCTCGTGCATCGACTGCAACACTTTTCGCAAATATTGATGGAACGTGTACATAGCATTCACACACTGTTTCTTTCCTTTTGTTAGGAAACTATATGAATAATATTCCATACGTTGCGATTTTTCACACAGATGTCAATTTATATTTCAAATAAACAATAAATATTTAAATAAATAAATAAAGCATAAATAGAACATTGCAAATATTATAAAATTAGCTTTATTATTTTTTTTAACTGATAACAGATGGATAAAAAAAAATATAAATTTGTATTTAATCATGAAAGTATTTTTTTTAAACTTATTTGGTGATTAAAAAAAATCTGGTAACATATTTTACAGAGAAGGTGAGATAATTCAGCAAAGTACGCGAGAAAATTTCATTTCAAAAATAGATGCATAAATTCATAAAATATTCTATCAAAAAATGATGCTTGTAAAGGTAAAATGGTTATGACCTTCTTTTACGTCAATTTAATCTCTGACCTTTCGTTCAACAGAAAAATTGAAATATCATATCATTTTTCAGTATTAATTCGATATAAAAAAGCACTTGGCTCTTCTTAAATATTTCTTTTCACAGGCTTTTTGTAATTTTTTCTCTATTCTATTGCTTTATTTTTCTTAAGCCATACATCTTTCTATCGTGACTCCCAGAGGCGGTATCACGTCGATAGAGACACATGAGGAAACTCCCGAGTCATAAATTCAGGCAATAAGTTCACGCTGGGGACGAGCGATATCGGAATCAAATCAGTGCCAAGTAGACAAGCCGAGGCGCAACTCGAACACGTAGAATCCCTGAAACTTGTGCAGCCATCGGCATACTCGCTTGAGCGCATTACCAATTGAGTCCCTCTACTCTCTATCTTACACTTACGTACTTGTATGAACTTTCAAGTGGGCTTGTCGTACCCCTTATAGCTTTCCTCTTGATTTTCCGCTGACTTCAACAATTATGCCAACAATATACCCTCTGTACCGGCAACTAATACTAAGTTGCTGGGCATCATCAATTCTATACAAAATCTCCATAATAATCAAAAGATGAATTTAGTCCCCAACTAATCATCAAACTTCTTTCAAACCCTTGTTATACTCCTAAATGAATATTCACTAAGTATTTATAACATGAATCACATTAATTTATACATGAGACAGATTAATAAATTACTCCATTGAGAAAGTTTATTTTTATGATTTATGGACTTCATTAGTGTGGCTTTATGATAATTCACAAATTTTCTGTTGCTCGAGATAATGCATAACTTTTTTCATAAAATATTATTATTTATTCAAATACTCCCCTTTTACATCACTTTATTTTTTAAGCAATAAATTACAACTTTTATTGTAATTCATAAATATTTTAATACAATTGTTGGTCAGTGCAATTAACAATACTGGGAAAAGGTCGGTTATAACGAGGGCTTTAAGGTTTTTCATAAATAAAATCCTTAATTTTTAATTGCATAATGAAGAAATTTTTATCAAGAAAATCATTAGTCACCTTTCTTTTGAATTCTAATGAGTGAAAATAAAAAATAAAATTCTTCTCATATAAATATCAACTTGAAAAAACTAAAGTTCCTCATCTTGTCCTGTACATGGGGCAAGATGATGCACCCCTTTGGATGAAACAGATAGATCACACAACAAGCACACTTTTGATCAAAATATCTGTGGCACTAACGACTTCGTCTAAATACCGTCAAATAACGTCAGAAGAACATTTCTAGCGACATCGTTTTATCAGTGTTATTACGGTCCTCATCTTACCCCACTTTTTTCTACTTGATAAAATTGCGTCTCGAGAAAATAGATAAAATAAAACCATCTCATCTAATTTTCAAATAGATTTTGAATATATAATTGAGGCTATTTAATGGAAAAACCTTGATTGTTGATTTAAATTCAGCGCATCAAAATCTGGACCATTCATTCATAATTTACTCTAGTCGATTCTATTACGGATTCTCCTGTTATTTTGATAAACAGGAAAATAAATAAAAATTATTCCCGATGAAATACAATAAATGATTACAAAAATAAAAATACTTTGATACAAAGTAAATAATTTTATATTGAAAGTAAACATAAAATATATGACCAAATGTGCTTACTGTTTCTAGGCGAACATCCTGCGGCGATGCAGCACGGTAACACTGCTGTTGGAACACCAACATCAGGCGCCTACCTCCTGCTTGCACTCATTATCGGCCAGTTCAGATAATATGATGCGCTATCGTTGCATGCACGAGGGATTTGCGTGTGTAAATTCATCGATGCGTGAGTGTGTTTGTAGGAAATGCCAAAATAATTTCAAAGTGACGCCCAGATGATTATTTTCCAACAATAACAACTCAACAAGAGATATTTATATAATCATGATTAAAAAAAAATAATAAGCCAGTTCATATTTGGTTTTAGACGAGTCATTTTGCTCAAATGTCGAGATATTTCGATATTTATTTGATAATAAAAAAAAAATGGAATAAACAATAAAATAATAAATAATCGATATAATTCAATATGGAATTAATACACTATATTTATACTCTCGACCAAGAAAATTTTTTACTCGTCATTATCATCTTGTGCAATTAATTAAAAGTCTTGTTGAGGAATATCTCTTGTACACGTGATGAGACTCCATCAAGGATAAAACCATCGGGTGTCCCAGACTCAAAACGAATGAAAAAATATATATAAAGAAGTTTCAAAAAAAACCAAAAAAAAAAAACGATATCTGAGCAGAATTAAAACAATATTGTTTGTAGGTATAAACGAAACGCGAGCTCTTTCAGAATTGTTCGACGTTCGTTTTTGTAAAATGAACAACCTACGCCTCTTTCACTCTCAGTTTTCATATCCTTTCTTCGTCCTCTTCACATTCTACATCATATTCATTGTCCTGAACCTTTAGGTTAAAATCCTCGATAATTCCTTCGTCTCGACAAACAAGTCGCGTCATTAAAAACCAAGTCTTGAATTTTGAAAGACGCCGATTTGTACATTTTTTTGTATCTCAACATAAAAAGGTTGAGCCATTCCTGATCAATACCCGATCCTTTGACATAGATTTGCACAGTGTTAAATGTCAAACTAAGTGTCATACTATAGAATTTAATTAAAATAAAAAATTATCAATAAGAAAAATTACATTCAGAAATTAATTGTATAATGACATACACACACATACACTGGTACACAAAGACAATTGTTTACACAATCCTTGAAGTTACTTATCGTGTGATGTCAATGTTGCAAATCGTAAATGAAAAAAAAGAAACTTTAAATCAAGTGATAAAAAGTAAATATAAGTGAATTAAATAAGATTTTACCAAATAACTGGGGATTAATAAAATGATAGAAGTAACTCGGAAGTCAAACAAAACAATTAATAAATAAGGAAAATACCCTGTTTTATTTAATAATACAACAGTTACTTGGCTGTGTTCCCACATTGTCATCTTATTTTCATGTCCATATTTTCAATCTTGTATATAATATTTTACTCTTGTAAATAAATTTACCCACAGAAATATTTTTATTATTATTACTTCCACTATCAAATACAGAGATATTTATCATATAAATAATCAATCCATTGATAGCTTAACTACTATAATCTCTAGAATATAAGAAAGGCAAACAATACGTGCTCGAGAAAAATGAGAAAATACAGTGCGAGTTGATGTTCACTAAAGTGGCCGAAAGGGGGAGTGAATCGACATTTTTATAGCTTCTATCAGCACGATCGAGATATTAATACTCTGGGGATTGCTCGGGGAAGGTTTTCTCTCATTCTAAAAGGGAAATTTGGCAAAGGTTAGTGCAAGGCCTCCTAAATAATCGTGTGAAAACCACGCTGAAAACGTATCGAGGTCATGGATATCGATTCGTCTATCGTTCGTGCAACCAGTTCCACTTCACATATACATACATATACCATACACATAGACACCCGTTTCATGAAACCCATTCCTCCTATTGCTACTGAATTACAATGGCTTCAGTGGAAAACGTGGGAGTCTTAAAGTTGAAATGCAGTTTGCTCAAAAGCATAAACAGAGAACTGGGGTCTACTCACAAGAGGGTGGCAAATATAAAGTGCAACGCATTTTCATAATTGAACCGTTGACTTGAGGTGAAACTTTATATGAAGCATTCCAAAATTCGCGTAATCATCCGACTGAAAATTAAAAGCTATATTATGTTTTGGCTTTATTATTATTATTCTTATAATAACATAGGTATGTATTCTTGTATATATTTATATATATATGTGGATCCTGTGCTTTAGCTTTCCTGAGAATATCGATTGACAATAAATCTTAGAGAATTTCAACTGCAGAAAATAGCGACCAAACATGAATAACTTTTCCCAAATGTAAACACGCAGCATCATCCTTCATTTTACTACACCATGCGCATCAAGACTTCAAATATAAACACTATAAATTCGTACTCCTTCTTATGCACTCGCGTCAAGAGTGTAAACATCGTCACACAATTATGTATTTTCAAAAGAACAAGGCTTACTAGAGTGTTTGTTTTCCTTAAAATAACTATTATTTCGTGCCGAGAGACACCGGGCAACACCTTGACCTTTGTTGGAATTTATTTCTCAAGCTTGTTCCAAGCTTAATTGAAGCACTGGCTAAAAATCTGAATAAGATTCTGGTCACAGGCACGAATGTTTTAATTTTAGCTTCACTTTGGTAGAAAAAAACATCTAGGATTTTTATTTAGTAGAATCTAAATATTTGGTTAATGATGTTCTGTATGTGTTAAAAATTCAAGGGAAAATTTTTTACCAGATTCTACAGAGGCTTTTTACCGAACTAAACAGCCTTTTTTGAATTTTACCAATTAACTAGATTTTACAAAGAATCACAGTATTTCCCTATATCTTTCACCGGATAAATCACACAAAGCGATTAAATAGTGGACTGAATTGCCGCGTAAGGTCGTCGAATATTGCGAATTGTTCAGTTTAAACGTTAACCGGAAAATCGAGCCAATATCATCATTTTCCGTACGCGCCGAAGCGGCAAACGGAGGAAAAAAGTCAGATATATTTATATATAAAAATAAAAAGAGAGGTAGAAGGGTAAAATCTAAATGGAAAAATAAAAAACAAGGCCCGAATGCACACGGCCCGATACGAAAAGCCATTGGTAGCAATGAGTAACGAGAGCTTCCATAAGTATCGAAAAAACATCGGTGCTCGACTATCTCGTTGCACGGGCCACAATAATGCGCACTGTTAGAGACCAGTTTCTCTTCCTTTTTCTCCTATGTACCTTACGAATGCATGTATATAACTCACATAAATGTTGGTACAAGTAACAGTAATGGTATGCACAAAAATCAACAAATATTCATTTTATGTATTCCTTGTTATCATAAATGTGAATAGAAATAAATACATGTTTGTTCCCGATTCTTCAATAGCTTGAGGTTATTTGAAAGAGAATTCTTTTTTCTTTTAAACTCAGCAACTTAATGTGTTGCAGTAACCATTACGTCAATTGGGAAAAGGCACTTCTTCAGGCGTGACTTGAATCGATAATATCGCGTCTCATCTGACTCGGATATTTTACGATAGACATAAATACACATCTACATAGAGCGAATAATAAAAATAGAACAAAAGAATTGACGAAACAGACGCAGATGATGCATAGAGTTTTTTATGTTGGCTAGAGATTTTTTGAGCATGTTACCGGGGAAAAAAAAATTTTTTTATCTAACAGCACTATCGAAATACGAGAAAGGGGGCTGGATAGAATGGAGAGAAGCAAGGGAGATCATAGACTAGGGAAAGCTTGACCGGCCAGTGATTCCGATATATTCGATTTCCTGAATGCGAGTGGGGAGGAAATTGATTCGTTTGACGAGGGCCTGAGTTCGTGTCATCCGGAGCATTTTAAATAAAATGATAAAGAAGCTTGCACGTGGAAAAAGACCGGGTTCTCCTCTATGTTACCAAACTTTCCTGCTACTACTGCAGTCCAGTGCAGACCAACGACATAAATTTAATTTCCGTTACATCACAAGCAAATCTGCCATCTGAAAATTCACGAATATTCATAGGGGCGTGAGTGAGGACGGAGAGAAAGAGAGAGCGCAAAGAGAGAATGCTTGAATATTTTAATGAAAAGTCATTCAAATAAGACAGAAAGATAATTAAAAAAAAATTATCTCTAGCTCTCTTTGAAGTTCGTTTCAATGAGAAGGGTAACGAATCGTGATAATTACCAAGGATAAGTCGATAATCATCAGGATAGTTGTAATCGTTTTTTGCAATATGACTGCTTATATAATTGGCAACGTAATTACGACGTCATTGTTAGAATTCACTATTTATAGCAGCTCTAAAAAAAATCTGTCCTTTTTTTATCATATATATATAAATATTTGTTTCGCGCTCTTCATTTATGAAAATGATATTTCATGTGAATTCTTTTAGAGAATTCAATTTTCATTTTATACGACAAATAAATAAATATTTTATTTAGCTGTGTTTGTATGTAGATTTAAAAAAATGTGCGATATGAATTTCACGACTAACCTAATTTACGAAAAAACTACGCTCACCCACGCTAAACTCCCACTAGAATAATAAAACCCAACGAGTTATTCTACTAGATAAAATATTGCACGTGCCTGGTGGCGGATATGCCTAAGGAAAAAAAGTAATGGTAATTAATGCCAAGAATCATTATCTATTAGTAGGAAAATAAAAATAAATTCCAGCTTCTGTGGCAGTAGATTATAATTTTGTATATCAATAGCAATTAATATTTTTAATGGATAAAAAAAATGTAAGTGCAAAAAAAAATATGCAATTACAATTTTCATATCAATAAAGATCATAATAAACCAATTACCTCGAAAATTCAATTATTAATTTAATAAAAAAAAATTAATGAATTTTTTAAAATAACTCATTAACTTTTAATTTTCAATTTTCACTTTCAATTATGTAAAATAAATAATTTAAAAAAGTGATCGTGCGGTTTTTCAGTGTTGAAGGGAATATTGAGCTAATCATTTTATTAGCAGCTACTTTTAATCTCATAAATAATGAACGACTCTTAATGGACGATACTTGGAATTATAATAAATAATTACAATCTTGATTTCGTCCTCTACACTCTAATTATTCCTTTAACATCAATCTTCGTGATATTGACGCAAAAAAAGAAGAAAATACTACAACTTGAACTCATGAATAAAAAATTTTTTTACTCTAATCTAATCATCAGCATCTAAAACACGAAGAGTTGGATTTACATTTTACTTTACATGACTGATTACATCAAATAATCAAGATTTGTCAATCTTAAATGAAATATTAGCAAATGAATTCGAAATAAAAGTAAATGGCACTTTTACTAGGTCATTAGTATCAACACTTGAAAAATAAATCACCAGATTTGATTGAGTACAAGTACCCTTGAATAGTATTTGGCCCTTCAATATGTGTCCCTAACAGATTGCATGCCTGGTACACAATGGTGGAGAATATTAAAATACACTCAACAGTTAATATTCGTAATCAGTTATTGAATGTGAATAGTCTCAATCAATTGAAACGATCTTATTGGGTATAACTTGTACCCTATAATAACCTACGACAAGATAAATCAGTAAACATACATCCCTAACTCTATTCGTAATAACGATGCATCAATGAATCACATTCGTTATGCTCTGTCACACATGACACCCTAGTGTCAAATAGATTGATCGTTAATTAAATACCACGATTTTGTTGGTGCATTCCAAGCAAAAATATTTCATTCTCTCTCTCTGCTTTTGTTTTTTCATATTCTCCATAACAACATTTTACAGATAGGTTAATCGAATGTCGCTGGCAATTTACTAGATATATCGAGCATCAAAAATTGTTCATAGACTCTTGGGATATTTGAGTATACACCAAGAGCAAATTGTGATCAGTCTATCAACGTTCGAATCCATTAAGCAGTTACGTATTATCTCACAGCGGCTTAGCAACGGTAATAAATATTGATTGCCCAACAGTGCTGCATGAACGTACAAGGCAGAGCGAATGCGTTAGCGAGAAGAAGCGAGATTAGGGTCGAGAAATTTTGGTCCCGGGTGACCGAGGCTCAGCCTCATCGGCTACCCCCTTAAGTAAGACAAACGATCTACTGATGCCCCGGTTCCGCCTGCTCCAGTCTCCACCTTCTGAATGACCTCTTGACTAAGCTCTACATACATCATGTCTGTTTCTGTTTTTCAATTGTTTTGTTATAAATATAAGCCTGCAACTACCAAATATTTTGCAGGAATTTACATGTTTAATTAATGTATGGACTTGGAATTTAAATACCATTGGAACAATACTTGATGCAAAGATGTCAAGAATTCTTAGTTTTTTTATTTTAGTACTTAGAGAATTCTATTTAACCTTACAATCATTTGAAGTAGTTAAGTTGATTTAAATAAAATTATTAGACTTTTACTACAGTGTTTACTTTAATTTTAACTTTAACTTTATCATTTAATTTCAACACTAACTTCATTTTTCAATTTCGTCGTTTACTTCAAAAATTTTGACTATACTTATTATAATGTTGCAGGCAAACTTTGAAACACTTTGAAAATTTACCCAAACATTATTCCAACAACTATTTAGCTGTATTGTTCAAGAACTGTGTTGTACTAAATAAGAACATCATAAAATTGCATTATATTTAATTAATTAATTAGATAAATAGTAAAATTATTTTTTCCCCCCCCTATAAATGACGACAATATGTGTTCCAATGTATACCGAGTTGGATCTAAAAATCGAAAGCTGAAAATTTTTTTCTTATCAACAACCAGCCGGAAAATCATTAATTTCCCAAGGGTTACATCGCTGCTGACAATGACAATCATTCATTGCATGCGGGAACAGTGGAAATGTAAATCCAAGGGACTTGTGTCGGAAACTGTCATTTTCACGTGTCGTCAAGCTGCAAACTCTAAAGCTAGAGAAATTGAGGTACATACATTTTGAATATCGAGAAGGAGATGTAGTCAAAGCTTCCATGTTAGATATATAGCTAATGAGAGTATACAAGTTGACATTTTCATTCGTATTTACCTGAAAGATACTCATCTTTCAGGAGTGTATGAAACTCGGAAACATACTGTGTTTATTGCACACTCATGAAATTGGATATTTGCAAACGCAATTGCGCCTATAAATGCAGCACCAGCCCGCCAGTAGAGTAATGTATGATGTTTGTTAAATTGCGTATTTAATAAAACGCTTGAATATAGTAAAAGTTAATGAAACTGTGAGTTATGATAAATAACGTATAGTGAGAAATGATATCAGTAGTTTAAAAAACAGTTTTATAAAGTCAACTGAACAAATTTTTGTGGTCCAAAAACTCGACTGGTTGAGTAGTAAATGGTGGATGATAATCACCAACATTAATAGTCTGGATATGGGCATTTTGTATTACAAAGTATATAGGGATTATGTATGTATTTATACGCATGTAGGAATACCGTTTATACTCCGCGGTGTATGTAAATATACATTTGAAGAGCGAAAATCCAAACATCGCCTGCCACCACAGCATGTCGGGAGTTTACCCGTTATCTGTACAAATAACTCCCGTTCATTTGAACTTTGATTCCTGCATGGAATTAATTCCCATAATACCATTGGGAAATATTATAAATATTTTTTTCGTATAATATTTTCTGAATAACATGATCGATTTTATTGAAAAAAATATTTCTAGGCTGGTCATGAAAAAACAATAGCGAAAACACATCAATTGAATCGCGTTAGATGTGAATGAAAAAAAAAAAAATGAAAAAATAAAAGACAGTAAAAATATCAGATGAACATTATTTTATCAGCCATTGCAGCAGTATAGGAATTTCGTGAAAAAGTCAAAACACCGAAATAATTCAACGTCAGAAAGTAAAATCGATTTGTAAACTCGGTGAAATCCTACAATTCTTGTTGTGAAAAAGGGTTTGAGTGAGTTTAACTGTGAGTTTTATGCATTTATCTTTAATAACTTAACGAAAATTTAAACTACATAGAGCTTCTAACGATGTTGGTAGTAAAATCGTTTCACACGTATTCCGAATGTTTTGCACAAATGAACTATTACGAAACTCATTATTTAACGAGTTCCTTCGAATATATATATACTTTCGAGTGCTAGACTAAGTAGTTAATTAGTTCAATGTTTTCACAAATTCAACCACTCAATCATTCAAGTCACGTGGTGTAATGAATATCAAATCCTTGATTTATAATTGATGTAAATACAAATCACTTCGATGGTATCGGTTTGTAGACAAGGGATTTTAAAAAAAAGAGAAATTCCTTTTTTAAAAGGCTATCCTGTTTTAATCATGAGTTGCAATCATGTTTCATAAACAACAATGTGTAATCTGCGAGGAATTTTTTTTCAACCTTCAATCATGGATTTAACTGTTGAAGAAGAGATTCCATTTATCGTTACAACTGTCACTCCTTTTATTAGAAATAAATAATAAAACACAACATCATATGGCTGCCATGTTCATACTCGCTAATATTTATTTATTAATATTTTTATTTTAATTTTGTTTTGTACGAATAAATATAACATCAATTCGGAGAGATTTTAATGAAAATGTTTGATGAAAAATGAATTGTATCAATAACTTTTAATATCAAGTAGAATAATTGTTAATAATTTTAATTTTATTTTGAAATTATTGCAATACGAGAAAGATTTTGTATATTGATGAATAATAAAACATATTTATTGATATAATTGAAAAAGAAAATAAAAATATTTATTTTTCAATTATTTATTTTGTAAATAAAAAAATTTAAACACTTACATAAATATTTGTTAATAACCACAAGTATCTTTATCTGATGATAAATAAAATTCAATATCCAGAATATTCTGTTACGTAAAAAGAAAATATATTTATTCTTAAAAAAGATTCGTTTCATTGAAAAAATTATTTGACATTAAACGATCTAAATTAAAATGATAAACTCCTATTTATATTTAATTTTTATGATATATATGAATATGAAATTATTCTATTTCAATGAACAATAAATTTTTATTTATCATTTATTCCACGTAATATATTTAACATTTTATAATTAAATTTTAAAAAAATACCGTTCACTGATCTCCAAAGAAATGTCTAGCGCGGAATTTATTTTGAATTCAAATAATCATGTGATCGAGTAACAAATAAATTCAGCCAATCAAACATGATAAAATAAAATGATTTGTGGCGCATGCGTAGAACAAGCAACGATTTACCTTTTATGACACGTGCGTTTGTTCGACCAACTTTGATAGGTAGACGTTGTTGTCACGCAGTTCAGAAGCACGTAGTACGCTCTCCGTAGAGAATATTCAAGAGCTAGTATTGCAGGCGCTGGTACGCACAAGTTTATTATCATCTCAAGCATCGAGGAAATTCTAGAGACTAATTTTGGTAAGTAATCATGATAAAACACGAATTATTTATTGGGTGGGGTCAGTTTTTTCCGATATAAAAGAGATAGTAGCACTGTGTTACCATTTGAAGCCACGTGTAGGATGTATTTTTAATGTTTTTTGCTTTACCCGCGTGTGATAAGCTTTTAAACTTTATTCTCAGCTTCTTCTGTATCTTGATATTTTTTTTTCGCGCTAAGACACAATTGCACAACATCTGGATGTCTCAAATTATTTCGTACTAGACTCTACATTCGTGCAATACGGTTAACATATTGGGTTATTTCTATACTATTTAATTATCTTACGTATTTTTATTTCATAAATTTATTAATTTTCATTATCTACAATAATGACATCGTTGTAGAAAATCAAGGAATATATTATATTAAATATTTTTATCTTGTGCGTGCCAACTTGTCTTAATTTCCTCGTCTCAAATTCCAAGTAAGTTCGTACGTAAAAAAAAAGTTCTAACATCACAACACTATCTGTTGTCCAAATAAGAACGTTACTTTATATAAATAAGATTTCGAGGATTCACAGTAATTCGTGAGCTCAATTAAACCTTACACTATACACTCATGTCTCAAGACTATAAAGCTAAATATCAACATCATTTTTTTTGTTTATTGATTTCTCTGACTGATTTTCTTTATTCTTTCTTTCTATAGATTCAAATCAAAGATATATAAAATCTTTTACCATGGTATCGTCAACAACTGTTGAAAATGGAGATACAGTTCCATCAATAAAAGCCTCTCCAGCTGAAGGAATTCCTCCAGGAAATTACCGATTAGTTGGTTTGGACATTGATGCTACAGGAAGAAAATTTGTTGATGAAATTTGCCAGATTGCGGGCTATACTTCGAAGTCTAAATTTGCTCAATACGTAATGCCCTTTAGAAACTTGAATCTTGCAGCACGAAAAAGACACAATTTAAAGGTTGTAACTATCGGAAAATACCGTGTGTTGAAGAGTAGCAGAACAAACTCAGTAAGTAAACACAAAATAAATTCAATAATCTACTTGTAAAATCTTTTCTTTTCTTTCTTCATTTATTTTTGTTTTCGTTCAGGTATTGAAGACTAAGAGTGAAATTTCAGCAATATCAGACTTTCTATCATGGTTAGAAGAAATTAAAAAGGATAATGAAGATGGAATTATTTTAGTCCACCATGAATCGCGTAAAGTTATTCCGGTCATGCTATTAGACTCATTGATGAAGTACAAACTGCTCGAGAGATTCAAAAAAACTGTCAAAGGATTCGTTAATGGATTTGATGTTGCCACTTCGAAATGTGCCAATACTCTGCAAGCTTTTTCATTACGAACGTTATCTCATACATTATTAAACGAGGTACGAGTTTATTGGTAAAATTTATAAACTGCATGTTACCAAATACAATATTAATGTTTATTTTTTGTTTACGTAGAAAGATCCGTGTGATAACGCAGAGACTCGAGCTCGATTAGTGTACAAAATTCTTCAACATTTAAGCAACGATGAAGAGAATGCAGAAACTAATGAAGGGAAAGAAAAAGATGATGCTACATCCAAAGCTACAATTGAATTCATCAGAGAATTTGTTCAACCCGTAGAGGCAGAAGAGAAAGAGCATGAAATTCAAAAACTTATGCTTGAACGCGAGTATAGCTTAAAGCCTATTTTCCGACCTCTTGTCCAAATGAGTCGTCGTGAACGTCATCACGCTACTCGTTTACGTGGACTACTTGCTGAATCCTACATCGACTATACACAATTGAAGGTTTGTTCAGCTAAGTAGTACTTTAATCTTGTCATCTTTGTTAAAAATTAAATTGTAATATCTAATCTTGTACTCATTGTACTAATAGGAAGCATGGGCCGCAGGTCAGAAAGAAGCTTTAGAAAAAATGATCAAGGAAAAAGTCGCAAAAGCAACAGTTAAAGAAAAAGAAGACCTCATAGAAGTACTCGAGTGCCATTTTGATCCTGAGAAGAAACCCAAGATTAATATTGAGACTGATGTTAAGAAAAAGACTAAGAAAACTCAAAATGTAAAGAATAGCAAAGATGTGTCGGGAACTGAAAGTCCAGATACTACAACAGTTCATTCACCGCCTCAGGTGAAAACTGAAGTTGTTGAACAGGAATCTACAAAAGTATTAGGTTAATTTGCATCAGTGCCTTATACGTACTACGGTACCAATAATCGATAAGAAAATGCTTTATTTTTATTACACATTCTAATCAAGACTCTGCGATATATTTAACTTACTAAATATTGAGATTTTTAGTTTAAATTTATTCATATTCAAATAAGATATATTTGATTTTCATGTTGATGATTTATAATTATTTATTATAGATCTTATTTTATTTTTTGTTCTGAATTGCGGAGTTTATTAAGAATCGTTATATTTTTTCTAATAACATGTTCTCGGAGAGCAATAAGATATAAATATATATAAATATATTAAAAAGAACAAATTACCAATGATACGGGCGTATCATTATATAAGATTAAATTAATAAAATCGTGGCTTATATTTTTAATTAATCTTAGCTAATTTTTTCATTGTTACTATTTTAATTAATAGTACTGAAATGTACTTATTTTTTTTCTTTCTTTTTAATTTATTAATTTTTTTTTGTTTATCAGCATCGAACAAATAAATATTTGCCATGATTAAGAAAGAAATCATTATAGTTAATGAATTATGTATCTAATGAATGCCTGCTATTTTCTAGTTAAATTTGGATCTCACTGATTATATAAATAAAAAATGTTTGGATGTAAATCAAGAATACATGTGATTATTACTTAACAATCTCCAGTGTACCCAAACATAACAGATATTTAAAATAATTTGCGTTAAGAAACAAGCATAAAACAAAATATGTCATTATTGATAGAAATTACTTTAAACGAGACAAAACACTATTCATGCAAACATAAGAATCAACATTAAAGTAGTAGGAGGAGACTAGTGAGCTGCACATATAAACTATGACGATCGCATGAGTGGGAAGACTGAACGGAGAACTCGAATAATCCTTTTATTCGGGATCAACCTGTTAGTGACCGAATCGCATTGAGCTGAAGCGAGTTTATCTATATTTAACCATTGATCCTTGCATGGAATTTCTCTTACTCGCTTAGGCGTTCGCTTAACAGCAAAACATTGAACCGCTTGTTTGATCACTTGCACAGCAATTGGAGGAAAGCTTTGATACAAGAGAGACACCAAAATGGGTCAGGCTTACACTTTTGAAGGGTAAGTACGGTTTACTTATTCACTAAATAAATTTTTAACCATTTTCAACATCGAGTGGTAGCTAACAATCACTATGTAGTTTATTGCCTCATCTTCTATCCATAGTGATGCTGTTACAATACACGACAATTCAAGCATACAGATTGAATGTCATGAGTTATCGTAACCACAAGAGTGATTGAACGCGGTAAAACGACCAAACCAAGCGTATAGTGAAAGCCATAATCTTTTCACAGTTTTTTATTTACTCTTTTTTTATAGATTCAATATCTCTATACACATTATGAAAGCTGTTGCAAACTTTTTTTATGCGGAGAATAGTTGATCATTTTTAGTAGTACAATGATTTATTTTTAATCAAATTTTATCTTTATTATTCAAAAGAAAAACTACTGTTATTTTATTTACTTTAAATCTAGATCATATTTTTTGAATTATTGTTTTATCTCGTTTAGTATTTTGATTATTTTTTACTGCAATAAATCTCAAAAAATTTTTGTTATCATCAGATGTCATTAAGTTTGATGAATGTGAATATTTTTAAGTAATTAAAACGAGTTTATGTCAAAAGATGGTTTTACTTTGAATGACATTAATTATTAATTCATTTTATCATTGCAAAATATATATAATATTTAGTAACATATGGATGTAATTATATATAATAACTTTTGAATAAATTGAAATATTTACATATAATAATTTTAAGTCATTGGCTATTTTAGTATATAAAATCAAATTTTTCCTTTAGGATTAAATATTGATGATTTTTTTTCAATTACATAACAAATCCGGTTGTTTTAATCAACACGTATTTATAGCATGCATTTAATTCTTAGAAATGATAACAAATAGCAATTCATAATAATTATTATTTTTTTTTCAAGGCCACCAAAAGACCACGTTGAGTTCACCATTAATGGAGTATTATACCAAGGTAAGGTATCAAGCAATGATATGATTCCAATTTAACAAGATAATTGTAAAGTCTTGGGCAGTCAACCAAGGTAAGAGATGTGGAAGTAAGAAATGATATGACATTTTCTTAGCAAAATGCGTACTCATGATAGAAGTAACTAAGCGTAACAACATTACGATAATAGTTACGTAAGCTGAGTTTAATGATGACTGATAAATATATAATACACTGGCTTTTTAATCTAACATAATCCCACACTAAATGATCAAACTTATCTTACTCTCCACAAAGACAACTTTCTATTGTAAAGATAAAAATATTAGCTATTGATTTTTTGCTAAATATTTTCAATGTCTAAGACGAATAATCTTGAAGTGTTTTATCTAATGTGACTTATGATCAGTTAATATTCATAACGATATCGTTTATATGAAAAAATTACATCTAGTATCAATAACACTGATAAATTGACTTTTTTATTCTCATATAAATAGTTGTAGATTGCGTGAGTAGTACTGGTTGATGTCTTAATAGTCTTTTAAACAATAAATTCAATGTTAAACAAATGACTAACCTATTTACTAGAATACTGGCTAGAATTGAAATAATATAAAAACTAAATGTGTATGAAATCCTTCTCCTAATAGAAAATTGAAAATATCATTTCAATTTTCTTGATTCATTTATGAAAAATAAAAAAAAAATCTCACTCAATTTCTTTTGTGTAAAAAAAAAGTATTAAGCAACTAATGGAAAATTTTATATCAATTAATGAAAAGTTATCATTTTGTATGATTTTTATCATGAAACATAAAAAAAGTTCTATCACTTTTTCAGCAAAAGAAATTCCTGAAGAATATGAAAGAGCAATTAATAATGTAAATGAATAAAAATGCAAAAATTCTTTCTTTAACAAAGTCTATTTAGAATAGAAGATAATACACATAGAGAAGCTGTCAAAAGATATTATAAAAAGTGATGATATAATGAATTTTTATTATTAGTGAAACAGAATGACTTACGGCCGGATACAACGCTCAACGTTTTCATCAGAGACCACGCAAAATTGCGAGGAACAAAGTCTATGTGTCATGAGGGTGGTTGTGGTACCTGTATAGTTGCTGCAGAGATCCACGGAGAAACTCTTGCAGTAAATTCTTGTCTAGTACCAGTCCTCATTTGCAATGGGTAAGGTTTGTCATTAGAACGAGAAAGTGGTATATCATTTGATATGACTAACGTAGCAGAAAAATAATGAACGAACCAACTTTGACGGATTATTTAATTGGATATGGAGTGTATGATCCTAAATCTGCTTATGTAATGCTTTTATCTTGAAATTTTTTCTACTAGATGGGAGATTAAAACCGTTGAGGGAATAGGGAATAAAAAAATAGGCTATCACAAAGTTCAAACAACCCTAGCTGGCATGAATGGATCTCAATGCGGCTACTGTTCTCCTGGAATGGTCATGAATATGTACAGGTTTGTGTAGACTTGATCCTCAACAATAAAGCTAATATGTAAAAGATGAAAACATGATGTAGTGAAAATAATAAATGAATTTGATGCAGTCTACTGGAAAGTAATAAAGATAAACTATCAATGAAGAAAATAGAAAATTCTTTTGGTGGAAATATTTGTCGTTGTACTGGATACCGACCAATTCTCGACGCATTCAAAGGACTAGCCAGCGATGCTGATCCTCACTTATCACAAAAAATTGCTGATATTGAGGTAATGAACTTTCCAGTACTACTTTAATCTTGATAAATTTTCAAGGAATTTATAATTGCCTTTCTTCTATGCATTTTATACTTTGTTATTAAGGTAATAAGAGCAGTATATAATGAAGGGCTTCACGGATTCTGTATGAACAAATTCTTTGTGTCAGAGATAACCAGAGTGAACTTGAATGTATCAAATATTAAACTCAATAGTTTTAATGAGTTTCAACTTAGCAATTATCTATCTAGTTAAAAATAAATCAATTGTTCATTATGTTAAGCGTATATATATAGAGGGTGAAATGACTAACTAGATCACTTCATCTTGTTCGTAGGAAGTATACAAGTGGAAAACTTGTCCCAAGACCGGAGTAGCATGCAAAGGAAGCTGTGGAGAGACGACTGAGTTCGTCGCAAATCCGGAAGAAGTTCACATGGTAATGAATAATGTGCAGTTCCACAAAGTTCTGTCAGTGGAAAATCTCTTCAATGTCTTTCAAAACAATCCAGATGCAACTTATATTCTGTACGGCGGCAATACAGCACACGGTGAGGTTGCATGAAATCAACTATCAAGACAACAATTAGCTTGGCTTGCAGACGTTATATTCTTGCCCTAACAACGATCACCACGATATGGTGATAATGAGCGATCGATGCAAGTACATGCAACTATGCTATTGTTTGTCCGCAGGCGTTTACCGTTCAGAACAGGTTCAGATATATATAGACGTAAATGATATCACTGACCTACATAGAGTCGAGAAAGATGATAAAAATCTCACTTTTGGTGGTAATGTTACGCTCAGCGTTGCCAAACATACATTGAAGAAATACTCCAAGGAACCTGGATTTCAGCATCTGCAATACATGGCCAATCATATCGACCTTATTGCTAATGTACCAGTCCGAAATGTAAGTCTCCTTTCAGCTAGTTGGCTTAAGAAACCTCGGAAATTAAAAATGATGATATAACTTCAAATAAATAGTCAGTAGCTAAAGTATTAGAGTAAGGTTAATAGAAGAAAAGCATCTAATTCACATGTGCACTTCCGTGGCACATTGCAGATAGGAACTCTGGCTGGAAATCTGATGATAAAGCACAAACACCGCGAATTTCCCTCGGATCTGTTCCTCATGTTGGAAACTGCAGGAGCTGAGATACATATCCGTAAAAAATTTTATCTTCCATTGCATTATTTTTTATTTCTCATTTTTTATTTTTATGCCTTCTGTTAACTTTTTTTCTCATCATACTTGACTACCTGACAACAGTTTTTAAAGCTTTATTTTTCCTCTTAGTTGATTCTCCAGCAAATAAAACAACTGTCAACTTCATGGACTTCCTACAAATGGACATGAAACACAAAATTATATACAGCATTGTGATACCAGCTTTAAGTTCTGGCCACGTATATCGATCTTACAAGGTATATCAAGCTACACTTGGAAGAATTCTATTAATTCACAGTTTAATACTTGCTATATCAATTTACCATAAAAAAAATTATGATTCCCTATGAATTCCATCCATTTTATTTCAATTTTATGTGTTCCAGATAATGCCAAGAGCTCAAAATGCTCATGCTCACGTAAATGCAGGTTTTCTCTTTAAATTAGATTCCAATGGAATGGTTCTAGAGAAACCAAACATCATATTTGGAGGCATCAGATCTGACTTTGTGAGTAATTTAAAATAAATTCTTGTAATAACTTTAGTTATATGATAAAAAATAGAAACAAGAATATTGAAAAAGTCATGTTAAATGATACATCATAAAATTAACAATAAAAAAGAAATATACGAATCCTATCGTTCGCGAAGATCTAGTACTTGTTGTAAATTTTATCAAGTATTGAAACAGGTCGAATTCATTACACATTTACAATACTTTTATAGTTACACGCCTCTGCCACAGAGGATTATTTAAATGGGAAATCTCTTTTCGATAAAAGTGTCTTTAAACAAGCTCTCAATACACTTGATTCTGAATTAAAACCCGATCGAACGTTACCAGATTATTCACCGGAATTCAGAAAAACTCTTGCAGAAGGATTACTTTATAAGGTAAGCTTCAACACATACCCGTAATGAATGCATACTTGATGAGAAAATAATCTCTCTAATGAGTGTTATTTGAAACGTACTTATAGAATGTATGAGAATCATGCTAAGTAGACCTTTTCATATGTTTTTCTCTGGTATTTAAGTTTGTTCTTGGACAAATGGGAGACAGTGCAAATGAAAAATTACGTAGTGGTGGCCATCTATTAAAACGTGATCTTTCATCAGCAAAACACGATTATGATACAGATAAAAACCTTTGGCCAGTTAATAAGCCTTTACCCAAAATTGAGTCTATTCATCAGACATCTGGAGAAGCTCAGTATGCCAATGATGTACCACCTCATCCCCATGAAGTATTTTGTGCTTTCGTGGTTTCAGAAGTTGCTAATGGAATGCTAGAAAATGTTGATGCTTCAGAAGCTTTGGTATGATAAATAATATTCTATGATTTTTGCAAATGAATTCAACCTTTCAAATGAAATATAATTTGATTGCAATCAGGCCATGGAAGGGGTTGTGGCTTTCTTTTCTGCAAAAGATGTTCCAGGAGAGAACCTTTCTATCAATGCTGCACAAAACCAGGTTCTTTTGTTCGAGAATGAATTGGTATTTAATTACACTTTTTTTTCTACTTGGAACAAAACGAATTTTTCGATTAATCAATTTATTGGTCATTGGTTATTGGTCTTGCTGAATTCAACAGTTATTCATAGAGGACGTAATTCAATTCGCCGGACAACCTATTGGGATAATTGCTGCGGAAACTCAAGCACTTGCGAATGAGGCAGTAAAGAAAGTTAAAGTTACTTATCGTGATGCTTTAAAAACTCCACCAGTGATAACTGTAAAAGATGCTCTCACTCGTGGTGATACAGCTAGAAATTATCAAATCATAGATATACCTGCTTCAAGAAGAGGTTTGATTCTAATGATAATGGAGATAAAATTGTAATACCAATGGAAATATCTAATAATTAATGAAAGTTTCTGATCAAGTATAATTCCAGGTAATGATGTTGTGAAGGTAATCAAGGGAGAATTTGAAATTGGACACCAGTATCATTTTACAATGGAACCACAATCATGTGTTTGTATTCCAACTGAAGACGGATTAGATGTTTATCCAACCTCACAGTGGATGGATTTAACACAAGGAGTGATTGCTGATTGTCTCGGTATTCCTCAAAACAAGTAAACAGTTTAATTAATTAATCTTAAAGACTATGAAAAATTTTTCAATCACAAGTTTTTCTTTGATATACAAATCAAACTTTAAATTAATTTGAAGAAATTGACTTATTTGTTTTATATTTCGATTAATCCTGTTAATGTTGATCAAGGATGTAAGTCTAATCTAAATAATTATAAAATTTAGTAGATAAAATGTCGAAACCACTAGATTAGTTTAAAGTTTGTCTTGTAATAAGTTTTAGTATTAATCCGATAATTCTCGAGAATCCTTATAAGTAAGAAGTTAAAGTTTATAAGAGCTCTGACAAACACTTGTCACTATAACTAATATGAGGTAATTATTTCTTTTGACGATAATAATCGTACAGGATCAACATCAACGTGAGAAGATTGGGAGGTGGTTACGGTGCTAAAATATCCAGGAACGCGATGGTTTCTTGTGCATGCGCACTTGTTTCATATTTGTTAAATCGCCCGGCTCGTTTAGTTTTGAATATCGAGAGTAACATGATGATTATGGGCAAGAGACCTGCCGCTAGACAAGAATATGAAGTTGGAGTTGATGCCAAAGGCATTATTCAATATCTAAATTTTAATAGTTGGCATAACTCAGGCCATACGTGGAATGAGTTTGCTGGGCCTTTAACATCCCAACATGTTTATACGTGTTATGATGGAAGTCCTTGGAATGTCAAAAGCATTGATGTACAAACAGATATTCCATCAAATACATACTGTAGAGGACCAGGTAATATGTTAATTAATTTTCTATTCCATCGTTCAACGGTCAGAGAGTTTCAAACCGGTAGGAATTTAATATCGACCATAGCAAGTATCTAATAGACAAATTCTTGTAGGATCGGTAGAAGGTGTATCAATGGTAGAAACCATAATGGAGAATATAGCCAAAGAACTGGGCTTAGATCCCACTGAAGTGCGCTTGGGTAATATGGAGCCAACAAGCAAAGAAAGTTTAAGCAAAATGATTGAAGACCTAAAAGTATCATCCGATTATGAAACCAGAATACGAAGTATTCGACTCTTCAATAATGTAAGAAACTGTTAATCGATTCCTTTGAGCTTATACTTTCAGCTTTATTTCAAAAGGATTTTAATCATTTAATAACTTGCATGATTTTCATTATGATAAGTAAAAAATTTCTAAATATTCAAAAGTTTTTTTACACTTGATACGAGTTTGAGTTTCATTAATTTATTCAAGTTTTAAATAATGTTCACGAGTTTATTCGAATGAAAATGCTACTATAAATGAAATATTTACCGAAATTTCAATGTATTCTCTTCGAGTTACATAATTGATGTGATTACATGACTAAACGATTTTCAAATGTAAACTGGTTGATAAATCAATATCAATATATGACATTAATATTTTATAAAGTTCAATTTATGTATAATTGAAGAAAAATTTTAAATCGGATGTATTCAAATTGGATTTGCCTAACAAGCTGAAAAGCTTTAAACAAAACTATGAATAAATAAATTTAAAAGTAATATCGATATATATATTTTCTTGCAAATCATTGTATAAAATAAATAATGCATCATTCAATATCCAATGATATTTTTTATGTAAAACAAAAAAATGTTTCCTCTCTTAGAATGAAACTTTATTTTTGATATCTATATGTCTACTTTACAGGAGAACAGATGGAGAAAACGGGGGATGTCCTTAATCCCGTTGACATATCCTCTCCACGTATTCGGTCAGTACAACGTCCTGCTATCAGTATACGCTCGAGATGGTACGGTATCTATTGTTCATGGTGGCATTGAAATGGGACAAGGACTTCACACTAAAGTAAGGAACATAATTGTAACATGGAGTAATTCGAAACTAATCCTTTGTGAATGCTACAGGTTGCTCAAGTTGCTGCCTATACCTTAGGAATAGACCTAGATATGATCAATGTAAAACCCTCCAATAATATGATAGCTCCAAATAATGTTGTAACTGGTGGCAGTATTGGCAGTGAATCTTGTGCAGCGGTAATTATCACATTACCTATAGAATAAATACGAAATGCTGAAATAGCTCGATGTGAATGATTATCACGTATATTATTGTTAAGTGAACTTAATCCAATAATACCTTAATGGAGAAGTAACTGAATCATCCATATACACTATCTATCATATAATCTCGCTTTGCTACTAGTTAATACTTTTAATTGAATTCGATATCTCTATAAAACTAAATTTGTATTTTTTAAATAACATTTAAAGTAACTGATTTTTTTGCATTTAAAGATTTATGAGTAATCGATTATTTCATTCTAAACAATCACTTTTTTAAATTCAATTGTTCATTTATTTTTATTTCTTGTCTTTTATATATATATAAAAAAAAAAATCAATATTTAAAATTGAAACTCTTTATAGATGATAAAATGCAACTATAAGATATAAAGTGGAGTTTATCAGTTTTAAAAGATTTTTAATACTGATCTCTCCTATTTAGGCAACTATAAAAGCTTGTGAGGAGCTTTTACAACGATTAGCACCGGTAAAGGCTGAACTAAGCGACCCAGACTGGCAGGAATTGGTTTTAGCAGCCTATGAAAAAAATATTAGCCTTACCGTACATCACATGTAAGTATCTTTCTGAAGTAAAATTACTTAGACAACTATTATTTTATGTTTAAATAAAAAAACTCTTATTCTCATTTAAAAGGTTGGGCCACAAGCAAGAAAAAAAATACGATATCTATGGTGTTACTGTGGCTGAAGTGGAGATAGATGTACTGACAGGACAACATTTGATCCGACGAGTTGATTTATTAGAAGACGTAGGCACTAGCATGAATCCGGAGATTGATTTGGGACAAGCTGAAGGCGCATACGTTATGGGGATTGGTTATTGGACTTCTGAGGATATCATATATGATCCAAAAACAGGCCTCTTGGTTAATTATCGTACATGGGTTCGTAATAATTATCTAAGAAGCATTTATGAATTTATAATACTTCACTTAACTTCCTCTAAATCAATAGTTTTAAATTATAATCATTCAATCAACAACACTTGCAATTAACTTAAAAACATTATTATTAGTTTAAATTAAAGTAAAAAGTTATTTTATCTTCACTTACTTATGAAGTTTTAAACTTTAATATATCGGATATAAGAAGTTTCTCTTTAAAAATAGAATTTGAACATTAATTAATATAAATTAAAAATAACGAATTGGACGAATTTGCAAAGACTCAAATATTTATGACTTTGAATGCCTAAAAAGATAAGAGATAATCCTGGATAATCTTTAAAAAATGATATACTCCTACCCAGTAATGCACAACTAATAACGAGGTAATTATTTTAATAGACCAAAAAATGAATTTTACTATTTTTTTTATTTCAGAATTACAAACCACCTGGCGCTAAAGACATTCCTATTGATTTTCGAGTATACTTTCGCCGTAATGCTCCAAATCCAAACGGGGTTCTTCGATCTAAAGGTATTTAGAGATTAAAATATAAGTCGGATACATTTAAATAATTTATTTTATCGGTTAAAGCTGTTGGAGAACCACCAATATGCATGAGCTATGGAATAGTACTGGCTATACGTAATGCGCTAGAATCAGCAAGAAAGGATGCCGGTAATACCGACCCGTGGTTTCAATTAGGTCAGGAGTATTCAATAAAATACCTTTTTCTACAGGAAATTAAATTACGTTGTACATTGAATGAATCTATTTTCTTTATTTTCAGATGGTCCAGTCACTACCGAAAGAATACTTCTCAACAGCCTTACATCGAAGGAATTAATGACATTTTAGATCGACCAAGTCTACGTCTGTTCACTCTTAAAAATAATTATACTGCTATTGTTACTAAAATATTCATTGAATTTCTATTCGTGATGACAATTTTGATGAAGTGAATTAATTGAATATTGTATCGAATGAAACAATGCTATGATTATTATGATGTTAAATTATTAAATACTTTGTATAATAGCTTTCTTAGAATTGGGTTTGAATTGAAATTTTTTAAATTAATTAAATAAAAGTAAAACTTAAAAGGTAAAAGGGCAGTAAATGAATTATTGTTTAGTAAAGTTATAGATAAAAGTCTAGATTTGTTAAATGATCTAAGTAGATGAAACCAAATATTTTATAAGTTGATGTGAATTTACTCTTCCTAGGTTTTAAATTAAATATGTTATTAATTCAATATATAACGAGAAAAAATACATAAAATTTTTAAGCACCTGTATGGATTAAAACATAAAATTCAACCTCTCTTAAATTATTGAAACAAGATTTTTTGATGCAATTTATTCTGAACTAGTTAATTTTTCGTCTTCTTTTTACAGTAAAAAATTTATTTAAGAGCTAAATATTATGTAGTTTTCAAATAAGTTTCATCTAAAATATTAATCAACTGTTACTAAGCTTCTGTAATTCTTTAGCAAGATGAATAATAAATATCGAGTTCAATAAATGCATTTTAATTATTCAAAATCCTACCTCGAATGATTCTCTTTTATCAGCATGAATAAAGATGTAAAATTTATAGGATAAAAAAAAACAAAAATATTAATTGATTCAACGTTCAATAAACTCCTGATTGATGTTCCAGTGATCCTGGAGATATTTAATGACTAATATATCAATACTATAAATTGGAACACAATATCTCCTTAATAATAGTCTTCATAAATTATATTGACCCATAGAATCCTAATAAAATGATTTATTGCCTTGATTATTAGATAAATATATTTTATGCTTAACTACAGTACCAGTATTTCTTTTTCTATAACTTATGAAATTGTTAACAATAAAAAATGGAAAATTGAACTATTATTGCAAACTTTCCTTGCTACAGCAAACTTTGGAATAACTAAATTACATGTTTTCCAGAGAAATATCACGAAATGTTTTTATTTATGTTATAAAAAATTCTTTATGGTCAACAATTGCAAACGTTTAAAGTTGGAGCAACCACTTAATGCAGGCAGTGGTTTAGTGCGCAAGTATTACTACGCATTTAAATATTGTTTTTTTTTTTATTAAAATTTATTGAGGACATATTGTAGATTTAATGTTTTTTACTATATTGATATTGATAACTTTAAATTACCAAAAGTAATTAATCACTATCACTTTTTATGTCACTTAATGATTGCAATATATGGGAATGATGGTATTGGAGTAAGTGGGGTTATACATGTACTGCGCGACGCACATTAAAATCAACTTAATGAGATAAAAACGGAAATAAATGAATATAAGATAAGGAAATAAGGAAATAAAACATTAAAAATACCTTTTTTGAGTATCATAATTATCAAAAGGAAATGCTGCATTCCAATATAATGACGATATAGTGTCAATGATTAGACAAAAAAAACTCTGAGCCAACTCCAACAGCCATTTTGATTTTGCCATTCAGTAAAGATGGCCGTCCAAGACACACGGGTATTTCTATTATTTTTAACATAATTTACCCAATTAGGTTTCAACATTGTGAGTCAAGTGATTATTTTGTGTAAGTGTAATAAAGAAAACTTGTAAATCATATAATTTATAAATATTATTATTGAAACATTTTTTTCTTAAATATCCTTACAAAACTATCTCGCGTGTGACATCTAACCTTCAATTTATTTCAAAGTTGTGCTCATTAATTGTTTTTTCGCTGCATAATTTTGAATGAACTTTAAAACAAGAAAAGTAACCTACGCTAATTTAATTTAATGAATAAATCATTGTGAATCTTATTTTTGTTATGACTTACGTATCAGTATTTCATTCACATAATATCTTTTCAACGTTCTATTTACTATTGTATCTCGCCGAAGTATGATCAATTGCTAGTGGTATTAAAGGATATAATAGCCATTATTTAACAATATCAAGTAAGAATATTAATATTTAATATGTCGTATTTCAACCATGCATTTGCATGTGCATCATTATCTTCCTTACGACATCAGATGCATACTTTTAATAATCATAAAAATAAAACTGGACGAAATGCTGCAGTTTACACATTTTTTAATGGGTGCATGTAGATAAAATTGGCTTTTTATCCTAGTGACATTGTCTCCAGGTATTTTCATTCACTGCTCATAGCATGAAAAGATTAATCTCAAATTATTTAAGAATTATTAATTATTGAATTTTGTAAATATTATAAAAAGACTTATGTCACGTATATAGGATGTTGGATAACTAAAAACAACTTCAAATACTGGAGGATAAGTTTAAAAAGATTTTTTAAAACTTTGGATTAATTAAAGATACTTTAAATTATGTTGACAATACTTAATGTATCCATATTATATACTCAGAGAGTAATAGTTTATTGAAAAACACAAAAAATCATTAAAAATGATGGATGACAGACGAGTTGCTGATTATTTTGTGGTGGCTGGTTTGCCAGGCCAAAATGAAGACTCAGATAAAGAAAATGAGTCAGAAAAGCTGGAAGATTGGTGTCAAGAAGGAACTCATCTTAAGGATATGAATATGCAAGCACCTATCACGGATTTGGCTGTTATTTTTCCTGCTCTAGGTGAAACATGTCCTGAAGGTTATACGCTTTTAGAATATACAGTGTCTGGGTTTCCAGCTGATCTTAATCATGGAAGTTTGAGAACCAATGAATGTTATTTATGTTACCGAAGAGGTAGAGATAAACCACCACTTGTTGATATTGGTAAAAATCTTTTTTATTCTATTTTCGGAGTTATCAATATTTATTTAATTTATATATTGACTTATTTATGTTTATGGTTTTAGGTATTATTTATGATGGCAAAGAACGAATAATGGAGGATGCTAAAATGATTACAGAAACACCGACTGGTTATGTTGCAAATGTAAATAACTCTACATCAAAAATATTTGTAACATATAGACGAGCAAGTCGTAAAATGCCTTGCAATTCTTTGGTAGTAACTGATATCTGTGTTATTTTAACAAATAAAGGTGAAACAGCACCTCAAGCATTTTGTACAATTCACAAAAACTTGAACAAAGGAATGCTTGGAAGTGACGTTTATTTATGCTACAAAAAATCCATGAATCGAGCTAATTTAATTTCATTCAAGCCTGCGATTCTTTATAAATATCCTATGACAGACTATAATAGTTTTGGATTTCCTAATTCAGTTGCCATGTTTTGTTTACCAATGGGTGCATCAATTGAGTGTTGGCCAAAGGTTGCTTGTAAACCCAAGCCAGTGTTTTCAACATTTGTTCTTACAGTAGCTGATGCTGCTCAAAAAATTTATGGCTCGGCCATAACTTTTTATGAAGAAGTTATACCGGAATTTAGTACCATGAAAAACAACGAACATATTGAATTGGAGAAAGCTAATAATAGCATAGAAGTAGGAGAAAATATTTCTGAGAATAAACCGCAAGTTAAGATGAAAGTATTTAAAAAATTTGGAGTACTAAAAAGACTTAATTTAGCTCAGTTAGAAAAACTACAATATATAGATCCGGAAACTCAATCATTGAACATTAGCAAATCAATTTGTATTTTATCACATTGGCCATTTTTTGATACATTTGATAAGTTTCTCGGTTTTTTACATAGTATGGTAAATGGACAGCCACAGAGCATACCTATTGAAAAATATATATCTTACTTTCTCTGTGACATACCTTTTCCAAGTCCACAAAGGCCAAGGATTCTTGTGCAACTGAGCAGCACAGACAGGTTAATACTCACACAACCGGAAGATTTAGCATTACCTCGGTCTGGAGCCAGTTTTCGACAATTACTTGTTAACCTTGGACCAGAAAATTGTATGTTAATTTTATTGTTGATATTAACAGAGCAAAAAATACTTGTTCATTCACTGAGGCCTGATGTATTAACGTCAGTAAGTGAAGCTATTGCCATGATATTATTTCCTTTTAAATGGCAATGTCCTTATATACCACTGTGTCCTCTTGGATTAGCAGAAGTTTTACACGCACCATTACCTTTTCTTATTGGAGTAGATTCACGTTTTTTTGATCTTTATGACCCACCGTCCGATGTTAATTGTGTCAATTTGGATACCAATAACATCATTTTATGTGAAGATAAAAAATATTTAAATATTAAATTGCTACCTAAAAAACCAGCGAGATTGTTAAAGAGTGATTTAGAACATATATATATGAAACTTAGCAATCAAGGAAAAATTTATCCACAAAGAGAAAAAAATGATGAAGACTTCAGTGTTGATAAAGAGTTTCAACAAAAACGCAAAGAGCAAGCATTAGATCTCGAAATACAAGATAGTTTTTTAAAGTTCATGGCGATGATTTTAAAAGGATATCGTGGCTATCTTTTGCCTATTACAAAAGCTCCAACTGTTGGTTCGACGGATCCTACTAGTCTGTTTAACATCCAAGCCTTCTTGCGAAGCCGAGATAAAGCACATGCCAAGTTTTATAACATGCTTGTCAGAACACAGATGTTTATTCGTTTTATTGAAGAGAGAAGCTTTGTGTCCGATATGGATATGGCTGGCTTAGCATTTTTTGATGAATGTACAGAACGTGTTGAGGAAGAAAATGTTACTTTTTTGGAGCTAGATGAATCTCAACATAGTGAACGTACTGTTTTTATCCCACCACCTGATCCAGGGCCTAATCAACCTCCGGTCGTGTACAAAACTTTCAAATTGAATCCTGATTTAATGCGACCCCAAAAAAATTTTGGTTTTAAAAATCCAGCTCTCAGTGCTTTTGGTATTACTCCGGGGAGTCCAATGGCCCGAAGGACGAAGCAGGAAATTAAAGTTGCACAGAGAATGGCGAGAAAACAGGTAAACATCAGCGAATAGCAATGGTTAAAGCATATAAATTATTTTAATGATAAATTGACGTTTATTGTAGGCTGCACTCCCAGAACGATGGGGCAGATGTTTGTTAGGAACATGTAATAGTTTATGGTTTCTTCATTTACCTGCAATGCTCCAAGTATCAAGCCAACCAGCTGCCATTCTTCATCAAGCCTATGAACTACTAGTAAAAATGCAGAAATTACGTTTAGATCCTATGGAGGAGGTAAGTATTTAATTTATTACGTTGATTAAAATTTACACTGCTCTTTAATTGCATACATTTCTTAGGTATGTTATAGAGCTATGATGCAACTTTGTGGTGTTTATGGTCAGCCTGTTTTAGCAGTAAAGCTGTTATTTCACATGAAACGTAGTGGAGTACAACCCAATGCACTCACTTATGGATTCTATAACAAGGTAGTAAAGCTCGAAATATATCTTTTATATTTATTTTGTGTTTTATTTAATTTATGAACCTTTAAAAACGTTTAGTATTCATTTTTTTGATAGTTTTTGAATTGTTCTTTTATATTAAAGACCAATAACCATTACAATCTGTACTCATTCAAATCAAATACTCTACATGGATTATTCCCTATACAAACATAAATATTTTATTACATAAATAAGAGACCTAATTAAAAAATTTTCGACAATTTTAAAAATCTTTTTTTATATAGTTACATATATTTCTCTATAAATACTACTTGCTTTTTTCAAATAAATTAAATAATGCAATATTGAAGTTTATAATTTCATTCATGAAAAGTTAAATGATCTGAATAGGATATATTTTATTGAAAAAATATTTCATTCAGTAGAAAAAACATAAATAAAACATAAAAGTCTTATTCATTTTTCATATAAATCATTCTGTTGAAAACACTAAATTTTGAAATATCAATACCTCAATTACTCAAATATTATCTGTTTTCATCAAATTAATGATCTTATTTTTCACTCATAAATTTAAATCATCATTAAATCTCTATTTTTAAAAATATTCTCACACTCTTGTAGTCTTTAAGATGAATTTTTAACTTAAATTAAATTAATGATGATCTTTTCTAAGAGAATGTAAAATAATATTTATAGCTGAAACTTGATTGATTAGATCAAATAATAGTTAAGGCTTGTTTTTTAAATATAGGCCGTCCTCGAAGCCACATGGCCTTCTGATATGACAAATTCAAGTCAGTTGATGTGGAATAAATTACGAAATGTCATCGTTGGCGCTGCTCTATTTAAAAAAGCTGGAAAGAAAAGTGCAAGACGAAGATTAAGTTCCAATCCAGAAGTTCTTGGTATGGAGGGATTAAAAATTCAGGGAATGGACCACTTGGCTACATCCAGATCTAGTCTCGATAGCACACATTCTCATGATACTGAAAACGTAAATAATGACAGTTAGTATTGGTTTAATGTTTATTTTATTCAATAGCCCTATAAAATCGTACTTCATTCTACATTATCGATTTTTTAGTGGCATTGAAAGGCAGTTCAGTTCCTGATTTACCAGGTTTTGGCTTCATTGATATGAAAGTTAAGTCGATGTTTCTTCGACAGGACAGTATTGTCAAAGATGGAGGAATTTTATGTGCATCACAGCCAGAAGTACTGGATGATTCACCTACGGACAGTAGGTAATTAAATTCTCAATGTTGAATATTAATTTTTAATATTTCAAATTAATCAATTCTAATATATTAACTTAAATGATTCTGTAGCAACTTCATAATGACTATCGTTTATGTTAATTACATTCTTTATTATCTACGTAGAAAAATAATTAAAAAAAAAAACATAAAAACCTGTAATTACCATAAAAGTACTACGTATTATTTAAATTGACTGAATTAAAATTGTATAAATCTAACGAATTAATGATGATCTTGCTTTACTTATATAGGTCAATACATAGTCCAGAATCTCCACTCAAAAGTCCCATTAGAACTCCAGTTACCGAGAATGATCCGTTGGGAGCTTTGGTGAATGATGAAACTCCCATAGTATCACCATCAGAAGAGAATGATTCAAATTGTTCAACGAGTACTTTAACTGTTGTTAATAATACATTGGGCGACCGACCTGGTGGACCTGTTCTATTTCGCAGGTATCCATAATATGATATAATAATAAAAATTTACATGGGTTTATTTATTTAAAGATAAATTATATGAGTAATGAGAAAATTATGTTTACACAGCAACAATGTAAATACCATACCCCGTAGCGCTACGTTTCACCAAGCTGTTGATGAAACTGGTGCGACAGTTAGCGGTCAGTTGCAAAGAAGTGAAACGATGCCACATTCAGTTGCCCAACAGGGTGAACAGGAGAGAGAACGTGAGAGACTGGAAATTGGTGGTGGCCTCTGGTCCAATAAAGATAGCGTTACATCTAGCCTGTCTAGTTTAGGCTCTAGCCTTAAGCTCAGCTTCGGGTAAGCGTATTATCTTAATCCTAACAAAATAAATAGTCTTTTTATTAATTTGCATAAAATTACAATTTATTGTAGTTTTTAATAATTTTTGTAAAAGTTTGCTTTTTAGCTACTTATTTTTATTTTTATTTTTTTTTGTAATTAGTATTTGGCATTTATATTTGAGTTTTATTTGTTTGCACGGTGTTTATATAGACGATACTCAACTGGAGGTCTGACATTTGTTAAAAATAAAGATTTAATTACACCAAATGTATTTATTGAATCACTAAGTCTCTCCAATTATATCAGGTGTGTATGTATTGTAGACTAAAGCTTCATTTTTTGCTTGCTTTCTAATCACATTAATTTACTGTTTATTCGTTCGAATTATTGTTGATTGAATTTTTTAATATTGAGTATTATATTTGTTTTCAGTCCAGCAAGTTTGACAGGGAAAAAATCTAATGAGATAATTCTTGGAGGATTAAACAGCCTTAAATCAGCTGCTACATCGGTTGCAAAGAAATTTGATGAGATAAAAGAGGCTATATCGGCTACCAGTACACCTGTAAAGCTTAAGGAGCGTGAACAACGATTAGGATATGGGCTTTCTCATGAATCACTAGATTCTTTGACAGACGGCTCTCAACAAGATCGTAATGAAATTTCTGCAAGAATGTCTGGTTAGTAGCCCTTGTTATATCAATTTATCTATCTCTTACAAAACTGTAGATTTTAATTAAATGACTTTTCGACATTTAACTTGACCTCAGGTGATTCGGGAATGGATGTGTTGGGGTCGTTATGTGAACTTGCAGACTGCATGTATCCAAAAGGCTCCCGAGAATTTGAAGAACGTTTAGCAGTGGAAATTGTGATCTCTAGTGCCAGTCGGTGTCATCACTGTTTAGCAATACTTTATGACGAAGAAATAATGGCCGGTTGGCAACCGGAAGACTCGAATTTAAATACCGTTTGTCAATTCTGTGACAAGGCTACCGTTCCTCTTCTAACAGTTACCATTCTTGATTATCGGTAGGTATTTTTAAAGAATGCACACATGCACACTAAGTTCAATTATAAAAATAACAAAAATTCGAATATATATTCTATTTGAATATATGACATTGGCTAGCAATAATTCGTTTAAAAAATTGTATAGTTATACCACTCAATGTCAATACAAATTTTATTTTACAGATGTAACGAAGGTGAAAAGATAGATGATCCATTGACAGGTGCATTAATTGAATTAATGGATCAACCGAGAGAATTACCCGAACCAATTACAGTACCGTATTTGAATCCATTAGTACTGAGAAAAGAGTTAGAAAATGTATTAAGTCAAGAAGGTGACACTTGTCTTACGAAGCACCGATTTATTCAAGAGCATCCTAGTGTTTATTGGAATTTAATCTGGTATTTTGAAAGAATAAATTTGAATAGTCATCTTCCAGAACTTTGGCTTCACAATGATGATATGAAGGATTTACCGAACGTTTCAAATTTAGTGGGTGTAAGAACAATGTGGGACAACGAAAAACTTCATATGAACCGTTTGCCAATGTATCTTCAATGGAAACAGAATTGTCCGGAAGAACGATCGTAAGTGATTGAGTTGAACAATTTCCTCCAATGTTCACTTCAAGTTAATGCATACTAACGAGAATACTTCATTTAATAGATTGATGCAAAGTGTTATAACAAACGTCCGTCATAATAAATTGACAGAACCAATAAAAAGAGTGGCCTTAGAGAGAAGTAAAGCTGAAGGGAAAGAAAATCCGCCATTTTCTATCTATAGGGATATTTTGTTTTTAGCTTTTACTGCATTGGGAAGGACGAATATCGATCAAGGTAAATTGTTGTAAATTATTTCATAAATTACTTTATGTTTTCTCAATTTAAAATTTTTTCATTTATTTATCATACATAGGGGTATTTGACCGGCAATATTCAGCGGCGTTGGAAAGCTTAACAGATAGTGAAGCAACATTGTTACAAAGAACAGATGCAGCTCCCTCCTATATGACATTATATTGTAGACATTATTTTAAGCAGTTAAGTGTATAATAATTTGAAGAAAAGAGCGAGAGAAAGAGAGAACGAGCACAAAGTGAAGAGTGTTTTTTTCTAGACGTGAAGATGAAACGTAAGTGGCGATAAAAATAACAAATTTTATTATATTCATGGCATAAATGATTGAACACCAATGTTACAGAACTTTCTTTCTGATATTGTGACAGAGGAACGTTCGTAAATATGTTAAATACATTGTTTTAAGTATTAGTTAATGTGCAATAGGGTGAAAAAAATCAATTAACAAATTGTACGATATATTTTCGACTATGTGAATATTTGACAATGAATTAATAACCATTGTCAGTTTTAAGCTTGTTTTTCCCTTCTCTATATAAATAGATAGACACATATGTTTAAAAGTTCATCTGAAATCACCGTCCGAATTTTTAGTAATGATACACTATCAATTGTGTCATTTAAATGTGGGAACAGGGTAATCATCAATATTAAACACAAAGCATCGAATTTTCTTTACTCGAACCCACAGCAATAATAACTCGTTTCCGCACGCTTTATGGTGATTCAATATTTCAAACAATGTTAATGTCACAAAGCATTATTTCAGTCGATTCGTAGAAATATATCTGCGGGATGCATCAAAGACGTGATCGACGTGTAAATATCCGTTCTTGTAGTATCCATTCTACCATAGTTGAATGATTAAAAATGAATGGCTGGTCATTTTTTTCTTACGTGCTGAAAATTCTTCATACAATCCTTTGGAAATTTTACAATTAAAATGACTACCATGTACAAGATGAAATTATGAATGATCACATTCGACACTTTAATTGCTACATGGTCTTGGAGAGTATTATAAATGTACATGCATTCATTATTATGTCAAGGCTAAAGAGTATGGGATAATAAAAGACAGTTGCGGTATATTTTATATAAAAATTGTATATTTGTCTATTGTTATATACCTTTTTATTTCTTTCATTTACTTATGTCTCCAATTCTAAATAATTCCTTCCATGAATCCCTTTTACTAGGATAATAATTTAGTCATGAAGTTGAAGTAGTTTGATATGAATTAGTCATTAATAAATATTGCTATTAAAGATAAAAGTACATTAAATATAGTAGAGAATAAGATTGAAGATATTTAATGAAGTGATGTGAATAATGAATTGACAGATATATTTGTTTTAATCGTAAAAATTTATTAGACAAAACAAATGAAAAGTTTGCTTTCTCAGTTCTACAATTACATAACGAACAGTGGGTATGCTGAATTCACGTACAAGTATATGAATGCTAGCGTGGATTAGCTCAGGCTGTCGTGCGTGAAATCGAGGTCGAGGTGGGATTTCGTCGATATGAAAATCTGTAAGCGTAAGGAATAGAAATAGAAATTCGTCGATAGCCAAGAGTCATTAAAAAAGAGGGAATAATAAAATAGGAGAGACAGTAGGTAAAGTGTGATGAGGATCAGACTAGCTTGTAGAAATGGAAAATGTAATATTGTCATCAGGGTCAATAAATGCAGTATACGATCGTTGAAGCGAGAACATCGCCATCTGTGAGTATGTTTGAAAGCTGAGCTTTTGATATGACTCTCAGCTCCCCCACTTTTGTCTTGCTCTGGCTCAGTGACGTCCAGTTGGTCGTCAGTATCTATTCTCAATGAGGAGAGTGCGCATGAGGCAAGAGGGTGAGTGCGGACCGGGTTCGTGGCGGTGATTGTATTAACACTTAGGGCTGGCTAAACCGTCGTCCCGCGTGTTCGCGCATAGTATACTGCGCGTGGTTTATCGCGCGCCGACGAAGACGACGACGACGGTTGCAGGTTTGAGAGAATAAAAACGGCTTCAACGAGACTCATGACGGTTACGGGGTGTGTGTGTTATTAATGAATTCATGACTACCGGTGATTTTGGTAGTGTGTAATAGCGAGTATATTGTGGTTAAACGAAACGGAAAGACAACAATAATATTGGAGTACATATAAATATAAACAGCGATAGCATTACTGTGAAATATTGTTTGTCGCCATCACGGTTATATTACTAAACACGTCATTAGTTATTGCAAACTCTGGCGTGTTTCTCGAAAGTGCCAAGTAATATTGTCTTGGTGGAAATATCTTGAGGGAGTAGGAGCGGGCTTGCGTGACCGGGTTAGTTTATCAAAGGGTGAGAACTCGAGTAAATTAACTGATAAACCATTGGAAGAAAAGAAACTGTCATTAATTCAAGTTATTTTTGTTGAATATTATTAGAATTGTGCGTGATACCAGGTCGAGCGTGTGTAGCTCGTATTTTTTTACCAGACACGCCTGGATCAGCGCATCGGCGCCACGACAAGAAAGTAACGCCGACGGCGACGACGACGGCAGTCAACGAAAGTGTGACCGATTTAACATCATCGGCGTGGCCATCAGTGACAACGTCTAGACATCTTGAAGTAAGTCCAAGCTATTTATCGCCATTTACTTCCACGAATCTACGGGATCATAAAATCATGACGTTTCCTAGTAGTTGTTAATCTAACCCGATAATCTTCTTGACGGACATACGGCCAAGACCGTCGTTGGTTTGGTAAAGTGGAATTTGTGCTTCGCGCACGTTAAAACATCGCTCTACACTTGGCATTTTCGCATGCGCGGGAATCCCCACTGACTCCACCTATTCCGTCGACCCACCCGTCTTTCCTTCCTCTGCTGGCAGCCGTGGCATGCCTGCTCTCTGCCTGCCTTACCCCGAGTACCCTAGCTTGCCAGGCTATAGCAGCAACCCGGCTAGTAGCTAGTTCCCGTTTTGCTCCGTGCTTATCCCGATCAATACCCACGACCACCACGTTAAGTGATGTGCATGTCCTTTGCTTTTACAATCAAATAACCAACCATTTGCTTACGTTATTTCAATATCATATCTACACTATTCTTTAGATCTAATCAAATCTCACGTGATACCAACAATAATCATCGATTTTATTAAACTACATTCTTTTTTCTTATATTTTCCAACACCCCAACAATCTTATCAATAAAACAGCATACTTTGTAGAATGGGGCTTTACATTTGAGTTTTACCTCCGGGAAAAAATTGCCTGATAGTTGGATGAATGATAACGAACACGCCACATATATTCATTCCAAGAAACTTTTATTTTACGAACTTACATTCGCCAATTGTTATTTCTTTTTTAGTCTCGTTCTTTTAGGTGTATTTACTTTCACTGACTATTTATACAGACTTTAATTGACATGTTTGTTTTTAACAATAACCGTTTATTGTATTATAGAAATTTAGTTGGTTATAATAACTGAGTAGCATCAGGTTTAAATGGCTTTTGATGCAGCATGAGAAAATAGGGTCGGGATGAAGAGGAAAGACACGTGTATTGATGATGATATAGGTGGACCGCGTGTCGTGCATTCTCTCACACACACATACACACATAGAGTGAAGATCAATCGGTTGTTCATTTACTATCGTTTCTTTACTCTCTGTGTCCACATATCAAAGTAAAAATGACACAATACATACTCACAAACAGTGGGCGTGTCTGGTGAAATCAATTTCTTTCGAAAATCCGTCGAGCATGAGCAGTTCGCGAGATAAACGTTGATGCACGGGTGCTCTACTCGTTGTATGCCTCTCTATTTTTGGCCTTCTTCCGTCATCAGCCGCTCGCTAGACTTTAGGATCTGCATATCATGCATGCATGCGAGTAAGAGACCGTTGAGAAAAAATACTCTCATGTGACTAGGACTTAGCTGTCGTCGGGGAATGAAGATGGCAGGTGGAAAAATCTTGTCAGCTACTCTTTGGTTATGTAATTGCAACTTGAAAATATACTCGTGTGTCTAGTTATATGAATAACTTACTTCTCACTTGTATGTACTTTACAAGTACATCAGTACTTAGAAATTGTTATTACTCTACTTGTTTATTTATTTATTTTTTTTTTTATTTCAATCTGTCACTTGATATCGATTGCGTGAGTTGGTTTGTGTAAGATAAAAACGAAGAAAAAAGACAACAGGGTCAGAAATACCTTCGTTACGGGAATAGGTTTGCCGTGACCGTTAAATCGATCGATTTACTGACAAATTATTAAACAACGATCATACTGTATATATCTTGAAAACGATCGAGTTGGTGATGCGCGCCTATGCCACCCGCTGGTATACACGGCAAGGTCGAAGTCACTTCCCCTTCGGCCATTAAATTCCCAATATGAGCGAAACTATTCTCTTCATTATCCGCTTTTCCATCTCTATTTTTTTTCTTCCTTTTCTTACTCATGTAAACACGTGATAAATTACTACTCTTTTTTCATACCTACCTAATGGGTATGTGAATTGTTTTATATTGAATAGGTCAACAATTGTTGTGAAAGTTGTATATTTCATGTCAGCTGTGGGTAATTAAGTTTCATTTTTTCATCGTTAAAATTCATCAAGGTCGCGTAATGCTTGTCAATCGAGATTCTTGCTACTCTCTTGACTCTCAATTGAGGGTCTGCAGGTTAGCTTTGTGAATGGAAATGTGCGGAAAGTGAAATTCAAAGGCTACTGTATAGATTTTTAGACGTGTAAAAAACTCTACTGACATTAAAATGCTACTTGAAGCATTTTATTTTGCAAATAAAATGAGATAATGATTGATTGTATTTATTATCTTTCTTTCCATTTAAATAATCAATAGTCAATTTGTTACATTCATTTTTTCAGATGTTAGTATACTTAAATATAATAATAATTCGTTTGGAATTTATTGCAAAATTATTCCTACTTTCTATGGTATTCATTACTATTATTGAATCGAAATGAGTTTTAGAAAGTAATGAAATACAAATTAGCCTACATTTTTATATATAAGGATGATAATATTTTATAAAAAAAAAAAAATTTTTTTATTCTTAAATTTACCTCGAAATTTGATTTTAATTAATGATGAGATAAGTTTCTCAAGTTTCTAAAGAGATTAATTAATTTTAAAAGGTAGTCCGAGAATTTTAAAGGTGTTTAATAGCGCGAAAAATTTATCTAAGTAAATTTTTTCTTTCTATTAATTATTCTTTAAATTTTAAAAACATTTTTTACATCAATTTTTTATTAATACTTTTAAATTCATGACAATTAATATTTATAACAAAGAAAAAAATTAAAAAGTATAAATGGGAGTTTTTTTATTTGATTTTTCAAAGATAAAAAAAAATTATTACAAAATTTAAGATAATATGCTCCTAAAAATAATCTGATGGTCGTTTAAACTTCTTGACTTATAAATTTTCTTAATAGATTTTTATCTAATTAGGTTAGGATTTTGATAATAATATTGCTTGAAATTTAGAAAAAAAAAAAATAATCTGAACGAGTGAATGAGAACAGCAGTTGTGTAGATAAAGCAACGTATGAGGCTCGAGTGTCATTTACAAATATTGGATTAAATAAAAGTTACGCGTATAGAAAAAGAGAAGGTGGGTATTCTCCTCTTCGGAATATTGGATTTCTATCGTGTTGTTCTAATTAGCTGTTGCCCCTTTGCGCCCCATTTCCGAGGTCAGCCAGCTTGAAAATAGAATAAAAATTTTCTCACGGTCGACATTAATGAAGGACAAGAAATTTTCATAATACATTTTTTACGTCTCTTCTTATTTTTTTGTTCATTTTTATGAAGCCTTTTCTGCTGTAATTAGTGCTTAGAAATTTTCATATCTGTAATATTCAAGATATTAGATATCTTCATCATCAACATTAAAACAGTTTCATAAATCTTATTCGTCTTTTATTCGCTTTTAAAATTCAGTTGAAAGGAAGTAAATGTAATTGATTCTTAAGTAATGAAAAAGTTTCCTTACAAGAGTCTCAAGTACTTGTATAAAAGTGTGATAAAGTCAACTAACTCTGTGCAGTCTTTTTAACTGACTAAATCTGAAAGTTTTGT